CCCCCCCACTCCCCGATACCGACCCCGACCCCCTGTAAAAACAGGGCATTTTGTCAAGTACTTTTAAAAATGCCCCGATGTTTGCGCTATGTTTTTTTTATCACTTACCTGCGGCGCGCGAGAGCAGCAGCGATTCAGCGCTGGTCCGGTGGGAGGAGCTCCAGGTGGGATCCTAATTTAGCTGGCCGGCGCAAACATAGCGCAAACATCGGGGCATTTTGACAAGTACCAGTACTTGTGAAAATGACTTGCCTTGCGGTAGCGCCGGGCCTGGGCTGGAGTTCAGCTTTAACACTAAATTGGATAGAATATGTAATATGCCAAAGAGACCTCTAACAATTCCCTTGTATTTTGTCTTACTGCAAATTTGTCATTACATGTCATTGACAATAAAATACTAAACAGATACTTTACCTTTGTTTGTAATCTTACTGTCATCTGTATCTGGTCTGTTCTGATCTCTGACTGTTCTTAGTAATTGTTTAAATGCATGCAGTGAAGCCTTAAAGTTTTCCCTCAGTACAGGGTAATGTGTTGTATTTTCTTGAGATGCCATGATGTCACCTATTTACATACATAAGAAAGGAACCTACTGTCTGAAGACCTGGAAGAGAAAAAAGTCAGTACAGGGTCATTGTCACTGATACAACCCATGCTAAAATGATGTCACAGGACTCAACATACTCAGAGTTAGATTGCTGCAGGATTACACTGATACATGACGGCGTCTACTTCAAAAATGCGTAGCTATTAGTCCAGCAAATCTGAATGTACATTCATTCTGTGTTCTCTCAGGGGTTTGTCTGTTCCGCCAGTCAGCACTGGTAGATCTGAGCAGGGAGGGGGGAATCCAGCCCCTCCCCTGTCACGGCAGAGAGCCGTGACAGGATCGAGAGGTGAGCGAACGCCGGTATGTGTTCGCTCACCTCCCGATCTACTGAGCCGACCTGTGACAGTCTCATTGTCACAGGTCGGCCAGAACTATGAGGTGAGTGAAAAGCACTCACCTCATAGTTCTCCTTTAAAACCACTCACCAATGATAATTTACACACTGCACTGGGTGTGTAAATTATCATTAAAAGCTGGGTGTTTTTATTGTGTCTGTTTTGCTCACCTGTCTTCTTATCAATAAAAGTTGTTTTTTTTTAAAAGAAGCTGCGTGTTATGTGTGGAGGGCTGCTACAAAGTATAAAAATCTTATCTTACAGAATGCTGGCTCCTTACAGATAACTCTAGGCTTCTGGGTACTGCGGGGAGTGAGATATGCAACACAAGCAGTGAAGTGCTCCTGCTGTATTCCCACCTCTCCTCACTGCTTACCTGTTCACAAAATATCTTCTATTTGTTTTTAAAGAATACAAGACGTTCTGTCATTGGAGGAGGAGTAAAGATGTCACACCTCCAACACCTTCTCCAAGACATTTTTTGAAAGGACAATAGTGAAGAGAACATTATAAGTTGGAGTTGGCATGCTACAAAGGAAGATTGTAATACTTTGCAGCCCTCCACATATTACACCCAGCTTTTTAATGATAATTTATACACCCAGTACACTGGGTAAATTATCATTTATTTCCTGGAGTGTGGCTTTAACTAGATCTGTAAGGCCGGGTTCCCATATGTGTGGGTCATTACTTCACACACTTTCATGAAAGTTGTTTCAAGTTAATGTGCATTGAGGTAAGGCGCAACACAGAGGACCGGAATACATACCTGCCCTCTTTGGGTTTTTTCAGTGCACCACAACACATAGATTGTTCACATATGTACGTAGTGGTATGCTAAATTGTAAATGAGTGCCAACTCACATCATGCCGTAATGTATGATAACAGATGCACATTACCACAATGCAAAAATGTTGATGTTTACTTACCAGTCTGTTGGTTGCCATGACAATGTTACAGGACAGTACCAAATGTTAGGAGGCAGAAGGGGGGTAGACTATTTACAAAAAGGCAAAAAGATTACAAACCTTAACATCAACAAAATCTAATGCTTGATATATCTGAAGGTAAATTGGTGGATTTACCAAAGACATTAGATGGCAGTGCCTGTCAGACTGCATGTGTATCCTGTAGTGAAATTAAGGTCAGTGGGAGAAACCAAGTAACAAGGAGATTGATACTTATGGAAGTATCAGTTTTCCAGTGGACTTCAGCTGAAGATTTCTCTTGAACTGAGCTGTGTTCTGAAAGTGCAGAAGGTTTATTAAATGTATAAAAGTAAAAAAGAAACAGTAACAAGCCCCCCCCCCTTTTTCCCCCTCCCTGATGGTCTCACCACTTTGTGGAGGTGTTATGTCCAAAATGACCATTGGAGCTATGCTTGCAGTGACACCCAAGCTGGACAGGTCTTCAAATGATACTACAGCCAAAAGGTTTTTAAGCGATTTCAAGTGCTGATGAAATCAATTACAATGGATGCTACTTCTTGATGCACACTAGTCCTGATATCCTATATTAGGGTGGCACCTTTCCCTTGTAGGGTCCTATGGAGCTTGTGATCTTGTACTGGAAAGGAAGTTCAGGGAAGCTGAGCTAAGAGAGTTGGAGTCAGCTGTTTGGAAACATGATGACTGTAAGTGTTTGTGCAAAAATCTAAAGGAATTCTTTGCTGGGCAATGTGTATTTGTTTAATCTGGATTCATTATTGGAAAAAAATATGAGAGGAGTGGAGTGGAAGAAATTTTGTACATATTCTCATTCTTTCTTTATTATGTTTAGGATTTAAAAAACAATATTATATTTATTTTGATATTATGCAGTCTTCTACACAGACAGCAGGTGGAGCCTGAGTCTCTGTCACCAACCTTCTGCGCATGCGCCAACTCCCGTTTTCCGTACTGTTCGGAGAAGGACACTTGCGAGCATGCGCGCGCCATGGACTTGCCGTGGAATAGCGCGCCAAATGGTGCACAGGAAGTGACACACTGGACTAATCGATCTTCCTATTTAAGTTCTGCATGCACACCTCCATATTGCTGGATTGTCTTCAGCCCTCCTGTATTCCTGTGTTCTCTATTTCCTTGCCTGCTGAACTTCTGCCTGGATCTGCTTGACAATTCCTGCCTGCTGCCTGCCCTCGACCACGGATTGTTTACTGGACTTGCCTCTGACCTCATCCTTGTGTACCTTATCTACTTGCTTGGTGTGGCCAGGCCCAGCGCTACCGCAAGTGACGCGGCCGCCTGAGGGCGCTGCAGGGTGAGGGCGGAAAAAACAGGGCATTTTGACAAGTACTTGTACTTGTCAAAATGCCCCGATGTTTGCGCTATGTTTTTGTTTTGTTTTTTCACTTACCTTCGGTGCGGGAGAGCAGCGGCGAGTCAGCGCTGGTCCAGTGGGAGGAGCCCCAGGTGGGGCAAAAATGCACCTTGCCTGTGTAGGCAAGAATCCTTGCACCGGCCATGGGTGTGGCCTCGGCTTGCTGACCTGGAATTTGGATTACTCCAGTTCTGCTACAGAACCAAGTCTTCAGCTTGCACGGTGTTAACACCACTGGCATCTGTGCCACTCGTTGTCTGCCAGGGCTCTGTCCCCATCTCCAAAGTCCTCAGGACACGAGGTGCAAAGGAGGCCTCCTCACGCATTCAGTCTCCAACCAGGTATGTGACAGTCACCTTTTTATATGATTACTATCTTTACTTTTTTGTCATGTTGAAAGAATCTGTTTGCTTACAGAACAAAAATAAGTAATCACAGCAGTAAGACATCCCTTATCAGACAGCAAAGTCTGGGGTTTCACTCAGAGAATGGCAACACTAAGGCCATCTGCTCTATAGTGTACCCAGTGTGCTCTGTGAATTCTTTGGCATGTATTAAATACTTGTTTATAAAACAAAAATGGTTCAAAGATAGTAAAAAAAACAACATAAATCAACGGTTTAAAATTGCATACATGCATACAGGTATTATAGTTTCCCTTAAAACTGATAGTACTGTAACATCTATGACATAGATCATGTAGGAATGCATGTTGGCTAAGTGGCTAGCCTTGCTACTCTGGTCCTGGGTTTAACTGCCACATGTGACTCTTTAATAGTTTGTACATTCTGCCCTTGTTTAGGTGTTTTTTTCCAGGTGTTTTTTCGACCACAACACAGACTAATCCTACTGTTTACAACTGTGATAGAGAAATTTGTATGTGAGTGGTGACAGCAGACAGGGACTGATATAAATGATTCTATGTACTCTGTGATATGAATGGTTTCAAGCACTCTGATTTGCATGGTTCAGCAAACAGTTGCTTACTGAAATGATTCATTGATGCAGACATACATTTATGTAAACTGAAAGACTAACCTCAGAAGAGTTAAGAGGAGTGTAATGTTTCAATTGCATTTCCTTTTGTGTCCCTAGTCTTCTATCCACAGCTTGAAAACGTCGGTCTGAGAGACTTACAGAAATAGTGATCTGAACCGCAATCTTTGCAAGTGTTAGAATTATCCCCCTTATATCTGTATGATCTCAGCATGTCCTAGCTTCTTGAAAACACTTGAACTAGGGCTTTCAAATGATGCGCTGGAGGATCAATTGGATCTTTTTGTTTGGAACCCCTTCCTCCCAATATGCAAGCAAATCTTGTTCTGAAGCTGCAAAAACTGTTGTAAAGATATTAAGTTATGGTCTATTTAGTAAACTAAACAAAAAAAAAGTACCTTATGTTTAAATAAAACAGGGACCGTCTGGGCAACATTACAAAAACTATTCCTAACTTGTATACCTATTGAAAGGCAGCTGAAATGGACTTCATGTAGCTTATTACGTTTTCTTTATCCCTGAAAAATCACATAAAAATGTACCAATAGCACAGCCAAGCAAGCATTTGACTGCAATTTAAAAACAGTTTCACACATATTACTTATGGCCAAAATCAACTGAGCTGATTTTATCTCAATAATTTAATTCAGAATAATTCAATGAGTCAAGAGTGTGCCATGCAGAAAGGTCTACAGATCATAGAGGAGCTAAAGGGATGTAGAGGAAAGTTTGCACGTTGAATTTTCCAAACATTTTTTACATTTTTGTTTTTATAGGTTTCCTAGCCCAACAGCCTTGTAATGAAAGCACATATTGATTGCTAGTTTGTTTTAAGAAGCTTCTGACATTCACCTGGCTGCCACACACACCTTCTACAGTACACTGGCAATGCTCTCTTCCAGGCAATGTTTGTCCTGCTCCAGCCAACCATGGGCTCTGCTGCTATAAAGATAGTTATTTTCTCCATAGCGCCATCTTTGCCTCCGAATGACTCTACAAAGACGGCGGGTAACACAGTGGAAGTGTTGCTACTTGTTAACATTCCAGCATGACTTTGATACATGCTGCTACTGCTTACCTCTCCAGAAAATTATTTTTGCCTGGCTGTTATCATAATCAAATGGCTTTAATAACTTGAGTCACTGACCAGAAAAAAAAGTATGCAGAAAAAGAAGTTCTGACACTTGCTTATTGCTTGTTCTGGGTCAGTAGCACTTAATGTATTGAAGATATTGAATTATCATGACAGACAGGCAACTAGTATTTATAGAAACAGGTCAGCAAAAGAAACCTACATATTTCTCTCTGCACAGGTTTCTTCTACATTAAACCAATCATGACAAACATGCGGGCACTGCCATTCTTCACCTTCTGGGAATGCAAGTTTCTTGGCAGTTATGCTGATCCACTAGCTAAATTACTTTCTGGGTCACCAACTATGAACTTGTATGTAGATTACGAATGTCAGAAGTCCTTTTTTTGTTACATATTTGTTTGTGTCAGGAATTAAAAGAATGAAGGGAGGAGGTTAGCAGCCAGGCAAATAGAATTTTAAAAATGGCAGGTCAGCAGTGGCAGATTTCAAGTTTCTTTCATGACAGGTTTACTTTAAGAGTACGCTGAAATCCTTTCTTTATTTAAATTCCATTACTTAGACTACAAATTCCCAAATATTCTGAAAGCCTAGTATATTAATATATATATACAGTGTATATATATATATATATGTATATAATGTTACTTTACCTATATTACTTTACATATAGTGCTTTGCTAAAAATGTTTGATCTTTCTCTACGTCCTACTTTGAGTGCTATTCTGTTTTATAATTAAGATTCAGTAATTACTTAGATTGTTCATTCAGAAGCTCTGAGCTTCCTGCTCCTGTAGCCAAGCTGTATTTAATTGTTCAAAGGCAGTTTTAAACTTCTCATAAGGGACCATCTTTTGAAGCAACACAAACACATACTAATCAAGATATGATCCTGATACTTCCCAATTATATGTAAGTAAAAAGCATTGCCATTTCAAACAAACTGTCTCTGCCCTAGGCACTGAACTGTAAACTCACAAACGTATTCAATAAGGCAAATGGTAATGTGCAGTAACACACATCAATCAATTCCAATATACATTTCTATGATCTATATATAGGAGGTTTTAGAAGCATTTAAAAAGTAAGAAAGCCATCTTGGGCATGCTTATTTAGTTGGAAAATACAGAGTGTTAAAAAATCTCCAGCTTCTGCTTATTTTTTTTGGAATACCTTGCCCATCACAGTTAGGACCAAATAAATACTCGCGTTCAGTCTGTAGTTGCCCCTGCATAAAGTCTGCTTATCCATTAGATGGAACTCCTTTTCTGTGATGAATGATGTCTAGTGCCATTCAAACCTCTTCTTGCAAGCACATGTATGTTATTACACTGGCCTGAGCTTACGGTACTGCTGCACTAAACAGTGCTAAAAATGTCCTATGTAAACGCAGTTCAGTGAAGCAGTAAGGACCACCACTACCAGACAAGAATTCCACATGGACAGTGTGTTATCAGGCTATGACCTTCCTTCCTTCCTTCTGTTTTGGGAGCTTCCCCTCTCAACTTCATAATTAAACTGGTGAACTAACTCTTTTGTGCAGATCTCATTGAAACATAGCAATCCTTTTAATCTCATTTGGGACATAGCAATACTTATACAAAAACAGGTGAAAACACTCTTGCAAACAAATATTAGAAGTCCCAATTACAATGTTTTTCTGTACTGATATCAGATATATGCCTAGACAATTGGATAGTGGTTAGCATATCACAATTTGATTAGTTTGAGGGTAACATATTTGTAACTGTAAAATAGAATCTTCCACATAGGGATCTCTTTAAATATTTACAAATGCAATTCTGCATTTCAACATATATTTACCAAAAGTAAACATTTCACAGCATGTCTATAAGAATGCCAACCCAAAGATTAGAGGTATTTCTTCTTTCTATATGCTTCTTTCCCACAATAATGGCATTACCAAGTCGAACTCCATGCTGAAATGGGACCTGGGTATCACGTTCACAGAGGAACAGTGTTCAAGAGCCTGTATATGGTCTTGCAAAGCTTCTCATTGCATTATATCCCGTCTAGAATGTCTAAGATAGTTTTGCATTACCTTGAGACATACTGGAATGGCTTTGGAGATAAGTGAACAGTATGACATATGTCGTGGACATGTTCCAACGTGACAAATTTTTTGGACGTAAACCTGGAGCAGTTCCATAAAGCAGAAAAGTTTTTCCTCTTTCATACCTTAACAGCAGTCAGATGTTTTATTACTAGATGATGAACGTATTTAGACCTTCCTTTGATTCAAACTCTGTTAACATACTTTGAATTTATGTTTGCAAAAGAAGATCAAGCCCTAGGAAAATTCTATTCTTTTTGGGTAATATGACTTCATCACCCGAAATGTACTTTACCTTTAAACTATATATGTCTATACCTGATAGGAGGCCCATTATGCAGATATTTGCCCTAGAACAGTCTTTTTATGGATTTGAGCTACATTGTACCACCTGTAAACTGGACCATTTTTCACCTCCATTGTTTGTTCCTTATCTATGGTTTTCCTTTGCTGAT